TCGGCATCAAATGCTTTGGCAATCTGACCTCGGTTCAGACGGTTCGTGACGTGGTTTGCCCAGGCTTCGTCCGCCAGGTCCGGGTCGCGGACGAGTGACCTGAGGCTCTGGTCGACTGCGTCGTTCGGGTGGGCGCCCGCGCCGGCGTTCAGCTGTCCTCGACGGCTCTGCTTGCGTGCGACTGCCTTGCGCATGGCGTCCACGACCCGACCTAGTTGCCCCGTCACAAGCCAACGGAGACGATCGTGAAACATATTGCGCAGGTCAATCGTAGACAGTGCGGTCGAGGGAGCAGACAACAACATGCTAGGCAAGGCCAAAATCAAAGCCCAGCACATCTCTCGCTCTTCAGCGGTATAGTCCGAGTGGACGGCAGACCAATACAGCTGGCTCAGGGTGGCAGCCATCAGCTTGGTCTCGGTGGCGTTGGATGGGTAGCGGCTGCGCTGCATCAGTGGATGCCGGGCGAGCTTGAGCAGCTCGCAGACACTGATGCGAGACCCTACACACTGTTGGGGCCAAGCGCCACGCATAATCTCAAGCAGGTCGTGTCCAGCCGCATGAAACAACACCTCGGTCGCTCGCTTCAGATTGGCACCACATCGGGAGCGGTGTTGACTGATACCAGTAGCTTCGAAGAAGAGGTGACACTTGTTGCACTGGGCGACCAATTTGGCCTCCATCACCTGCTTGACCATATCAGTGGCTTGCTCGTCGTAGGGGTGCTCGCGTAGTACATGATTGACCCAGGCTTTGCGGTCAAGGCGGGGCCCCTTGCATTTGCAAAGCCCAAATGGGCAGGCGAGGAGTTGCCTGTGGCCAGATGTCTTTAGCAGGACCTTGCGCTGGGCATCCAGCACGTTGGCAGCGATGGGCGGAGCGGGATCGCTGAGAAGAACATCTTGCTCACTCTCACTGTGTTCGCCCGCTGTATTGTGTGTTTCACTCTCACTGACTTCGCCAAGTGGGGCTGAGTTTGTATGCTCACTGTGTTCGACAGGATGTGAAACGGCAACGGGCAAAATGGCAGAGGCAGGGGGTGAAGCAGAGGGCGGAGAGGGATCGGAATGGGTTTGTCGTGTACCCGATGGATATGGCAGCACCATTTGAGCGGGTGTAGGTGATTGCACCAATGGCTCAGGCGTGGCACTGCCGTTTGTGTCACCGTCACCATCATGCGCGGGAGGGGCGATAGGGGTGGGCGCGCGGAGTGCGGTGGAGCGAGGAGGGGAGTCGCTTTCGTCCGAAGACATGGTCAAAAAATCCGATGGTGTGTTGGGAATCGAATGATGTGTCTGCCCTATGGACTTGGGCGAGGGTTGCTGCTCCCCGCTGCCATTTGGCTCAGAGGGCACCGATGCTGACAAATCCTCGGTCACAGGGGCCAAAGATGCGGCAGTGGCGGCGGCAGGAATTGCCGCAGCAACTTGAGCAAAGGAGCGTGGGCTGGATGGCGTGCGAGGGGTGCGGGGAGAAGCATTGGAAGTGTTTCCGAGACTGGGATGTTGCTCCCCGCCGCCGTTTGACGTCCTGGTCACTGGCTCGGCCGCGGGCACGACGGCACGTGCCGAAGACTCGGTCGCACCGGCAGCGGGGGACGTCGAGGGCACATGAGACGAGGCACGAGCGGTAGGGACAGAGTGGCGGGCGTGAGGGCGAAGCGGGGTGGTCATGGGGTCAGGGAAAACATGGTTACGGTCGTGGCGAGCGCTGCCATGTTTCGTGTGTTTTGCAGAACGATGAGTTTGGGAAGGCGAGGTGGTGGTGTTGCTTGGAGGTGATTCGGCACTCGGGCGTTTAGCACCGCGGACCCGGGTCCAAGAATCCTCGCCGCCGGACTCAGTGGCCATGTCCGCGGGGCAAGCAAGCGAGCAAGCGAGCGGACACGGTGGGAGCGAGGGCGCCGCCAAAACGCGGGCCGCAAAGAGCGGGGTTGCAGATTTTGTCTGACAACGTGGTTCACGCCAAGATGTCAGAAAAAAACATTGTAGTCGATGCCATAGAGTTGCTTGAAACCTTTGGCCACAATGCGTGCCTTGAAGGTGCCATCATGCTTGCGAGCAAAGACAACACGAAGGTCGAGGGGCTTGATGTGAGCTGGAAGGTGATCTAGTCCTTGGATGACGTTGTGCTCGTGAAAGGAATCAGCCTCCTTCTCAAGGGCACGGGTCCAGCTATCAGCATCAGGACTGTGCATGGCTTCCTTGACGGTAGCAGGCAGCTTGTTGTAGTTGTCGGTGGTGGTGATGTTGGCGCTGAAATGAGGATGGTCAAGGAGAAGAGGGTCAGTGTCGTCGTCGAGGTCATCGGTAACAATAATGGTAGTGGTGGTAGTAGTGGAGGTAGTGGAGTCAGCAGAGTCAGCAAAATCAGCAGCAGAAGTAGTAGGTTCGTCGTGGTCAAGGTCGTCAAATTGGTCGTGTTGAG